GCCCAACTTCCCGTTCCCTCATCCCCATAGTCTACCCAACATTCAGCATACGGCCCCTGTAACAGCATTATCTCTGCTCCCTAAGTGAGTCACATGCATGTCGCTCTACACTCATCTCTGTTCGTTACATCTACCACATTAAGCTTTCGTATAATATAAAGTGGAAACATGATCAGACAGAAACATTTAATCGTACAGTAGAACATGGTGCATAGGAAGGAGGGATTACAACACATTATAAGACGTAATACCACAAATCAAACGTTTTTGTGCCGTAAGTACAGTAATCATGACCAAAATATCAAAATCACTGGGCGCATTCTTTCCGATTGAGCATTCAAAACGAGTTATCATTTGAATAATGTTATACTGAATAGTGTTATCATTTGATGCCGTCCCGTTGAATTCACCAGAAGGTCGTAGCATTTTGATTAGGTTGCCTGAAAAGGACAGTTCCGATGAAATGATACAATTAGCTTGAATTATAGTGAGAAGTCAGATTCGAACAATTACACTGATTCTGGTACTTACTTTCTGATGACTTGAACATCTTGATGAATGGTAGTCCAAGAATAGCTCGTTTGGCGTTTTCGTAAGAGGCTGCGGTTTTTGAGCAGCAAGAACAAATTGTTCCGTTCGTGACAATCCTTCGCTAGCTCCAATCACTGTATCACGACCGACTCGTCGATCGACGAGCTGTTCCAGGGATGTCCTGTAAGAGTAATTATTTGACAGCGTCATCATGATAAGACAACTTAGTCAGTATTACTGACGAGTGCTATCTGAATATGCTCATGCAACGCCACCCTGAATACCAGCCCTGCAATCCCATCTGTAAACTGCGTCTACAGCACCGTCAAAAATCATCATTGTTCAAACGCAACTAAGGCCAGTTTATCCCAGGCGTTTCCAGAAAAATAGAGGAAAGAGAGTCACAGTCACATTTAAGATTACATTCTGGAAGTTTGACCCAGTAATAACGACTGTACACCAGTGCTTTACATTATGATCTCAAGAGTTTTTCCAAAGTGTCCACATTCAGCAGCGCTCTAATTGTAAGAAAAAACTGAAAAGCTGATACTTTCGCAAATTGGAGCAGATGTGTCAGAATTAACAAATAAAAATTTGTTAGTAGTCTGAGTACTTTGGTTGACGCTGCAACAAAAACCCTCTTCAATAGCTGTAAATCTCGAAAAAGTTGGCAATTAGCATATGCTACAAGAAGAACTGCCATGTCAGTCGGAGTTCGTGCAAAGATTTCGCTATTTGCATTTTTACAGGTATACTGCCCACTAGCAGGCAAATGAGTTTTTGAAAGATCATGCCACAACTTCGAGTTTTCATCAAATGCCACAGAACATCAAATCAATAAAGTGATAAAAGGAGTGATATATAATTTATGAAATACTGCACTTACTTTTGATTAGCATCTTCAACGTTCTCTAGGCAGACTAGCAGAAGGAAAGCCATCAAACCTTTGAGAACTTGCTGTTCACTTTCCGTTCCTTCACCACAGTCGTCAACTGAAACTAGCGGACCATGACGAGTATCTGAAAAAGTAATCTGAAAAAG